CGCCCCCCCCGGCCCGACGGCGGCGGAGGTCGGTGCAGCCTCGGCGGGTTGCTGCTGGGTTTTTGGTCATTATTCTCACTGGGCAGCCTGGGAGTAAGAGAAGGGCAAAGTGTGAGCAGGAGAACCCAAGTAACGTGGTATTTGCAAAAAGAGAGAGGAGGACAAGCATCAAAACCACACAGCAATAAAAGAGCCTCTGCTTCCTTAAGGAGTGGAAGATGCGAGGGGTAACAGACGCCCTCCTCTTTGCAGAGAAGCAGCACACAAACTTTGTGCTTGGAAACTTGAAGAACAACCCCATGGCCATGGAAAGAGAAGACAGCACCACACCTTACAGCCGAGTGACAGATAACCGTCCTCCTCCTCCATCCCTCTCCCACAGAAAAGCTGCTCAACAAATCCACGTTGTCCACGGTGCGATGGATCAGGTACCTGAGGCGGCTGGACAGCGGGGGGAACAGGAGCACCCTGGAAAGAGAAGAGGAGTCAAGGGCATCAGCACCTTGCAGGAAAGAAAAGGACGGGAACGTAGCAAGAATTTATTAACCTCTCTTCCCCAGGTCATTCCCACTGTAGGGAATCCAAAAATCCCTTCTCTCTTCTAGAAAACCAAAATCCCTTCTGCGTCCCAGAAATCTGGGCAGATGCGCTTGCTTTGTACATGGCCATTACAAGCTGGCAGGAAGCTGAACTACGCGATCCCACCCCTTCTCCTGTCTGACCCCCTCTCTTTGGCCATCTCAAGGGTTTCGAAGATCCCTGCCTCAAGGACTAGGTCCGGTTTGATCCAGCCTGGCCAAAGAAAAATGACACAGCAATGCAAAGCGGTGAAGCTCACTGCCACGATGGAGGCCCCAGCATGCAGGAAGCCGTGAGCAGAGAGAGGAAACGAAACAGTTTGATGACGAAACTATTCATCACAACTCGTCAGGCTGACTACTCAGCACGGCCACGCTGCGGCTGGTGCAAAAGCCACCCGTGTCCAAACTAACTCTGCTTGAAGGAGTGAGACCAGGGAAGGGCACACAGCAGAAAGCCCGTGCCGATCCTTGGCCTGCAGGGATGCTCCGAGCCAAACAGACCTCGCGGAGAGGCTCCAAACGCTGCTGTGCAAACCCAGCCGGCCTCTTCACCCCAGAGAACCCGGGCAAAACACGAGGCTCACAGCGTGCCACAGCTCCCGGGGTGACAGGGGCCATCGCCCAGTGACTGTGCCAAGGCGGGGGTCACCCCCTGGG